AAGGAAAGACGTATACTCATTACCGCGCATCGATCATTCACTCGACAGGCTGAGGTTTGCACGCTGCTTCTCGTCAATGGACCTCAAAAGCGGATATTGGCAAATGGGGGTCGACGAGCGAGATAAAGCAAAAACGGCCAATATAACGCCTGAAGGGCTTCATGAATTTAAAGTTTTGACCTTCGGATTGTTCTCAGCGCCCGCAACATTTCAGAGACTAACAGATACCGTTCTGTCAGGCCTTAAGTGGCAGATACGTCTGGTCTATCTGGACGAAGTCATTGTTTTTTCAAAAATATTTGAGGAACCCCTGAGCAGGCTGCTATCGGTATTCAGGGCAATAAGGTGAGCCGGCCGCACAATGAAACCCGAGAAGTGTCATTTCGGTTTCAAGGAGCTCCAATGTTCAGGCCATGTGGTAAGCCATGAAGGTGTTCGACCTGATTGTTATAAGATTGCGGCCGTCTGAATATTTCTGGTGCCAACAGATAAGAAAGCAGTCAGGCGTTTTCTTGGCCTATGCGAGTACTACCGAAGGTTTATTGCTAATTTCTCACTCATACCCTCACCGTTAACACGACTCACAAGAGAAGACGTTTCGTTCATATGGGGCGCAAACAACAAGCGGCATTTGACGATCTCCGACACCACCTGCAGATGCCGCCTGTGGTTGGTCACTTTTTTAGGACACTCCTACCGTGGTCCACACAGATGCCAGCAGCGTGGGTTTAGGCACTGTACTCGTCCAGTGGCGAGACTCAGCCGCGCGGGTGTTCGCATATGCTACTACGCTTTCCCGCGCCGAGTCCAGATATACTCCAAAACGGAAAAAGGATGTCTTGCTGTCGTATGGGCAGTTATGAAGTTTCGTTCGTACCTCTACGGTCGTTCCTTCCACGTAGTCAGCGACCATCATTCCCTCTGCTGGCTGACCAACTAGAAAGACCATTGCATTGTGACAATAAGCTCCTCTGACAGATGAACTTGGTCGCAGTGGTCGCAGCGCGGGGACGTTCTATTTTTTCTGCGGCATAAATTTCTCTTTTGTGCCACCTAAAAGTTTTCCACGGCAAGCGAGCGCTTATATAAAATGTTTTTTAGACGATACAAAATCTTTACTAATATGATTTAACATGTCAGGCCCCTGTCTTTGTCGCACATTCGCACAGGTTCTTTACGCTTATTAGGAGTTCAAGAAAGAAACGTATAAGCAATACGCACGAAAACGAAATGGTATGAGTAAGTGGTTAATTTGTGTATTTGAGACAATGTGCCACTTTTATGATCATGTTGTGCTGCGACTGGATTGATTTCAATGTACGTAATGCCAAGTTTTTATCGGACGTAATTCAGCGGTGGTATTTTCTGTGAGCCGGGAACACTCAGTTTCTACGTGGCCTAAATCGGTGCCGTGATTTTGTGCGATTACTAACTCTACTTACATGTATGCTATACAACAGCATGCCATAAATTGTCACGTCCCAAAGCTTTTCGCGTAAACGGCAGCCCTCAAGGTTTTAAATAAAAAGTCAATGAGTGAGTTTTTGTTAATTATTTCACTACAACTTAGGGTTGCTCCAAGTATATTAACGCCTCGACGTAGAGTTGGTGTGAGGAGACAACACGTGCATTACTGTCATAGACTTTCTTATACAAAATCTCCATCATTTCAAGAAGAGAGAGAGAGAAAATAACTCCCTCTATAGACGGTTTTCTTTTTCGTAAACAAAACAGCGTGCTCCTTAAAGGAGCACCCTAGGAAACTTGCCGGGTATATATAGACCTCCGGTATGGTTTACTCAATGAGCCCGCTGGTGTAGGCGGACTGCCTTTGTTTCTGTTGTATTTCTGGCGCTCTCTCCGATGCATGTTTAAAGATATGTATGGCAACTCTTTCGAATGGCAAAACAATATACAGAATGACAAGTTGCATAAAGTGAACGTATACTCTCAAAATGTGTGCCTAAAACGGGGCCTTAACCGTGTTACTTTGCACTGTTGCAGCATGCCTATTATAATAAAGTATTTAATATTGTGTCAGTGTGACATAGTATATCGGTTGAGTACAAGCATCACTGGCCACATTCTAAAACGGGGGTCTGAAAAGCAATTCAGGTAGTAGGCCGCAGTCAAGAATTTTTAATCCGCCAAGGGCCATGATAGCGAACAAGGCTGGAGTTGGAGGGGGAGTAGGGGAGTAAAAAAGTTCAAACACCATATCGACACTGATTTCTAGAATGACACAAAAATCGATGCTGTATCTGTAACAAAGTTATTATTATTATTATTATTATTATTGTTATTATTACTATTGTTGTTGTAAAAATTTTTCGGGCCAGTCTATAGTCTGCGTATGATACTTGAAGAAAGCGTTATCAATCGCAATAGGCGGGAAGATATGCGAGTGCACTTTATCGTAGTCCCAAAAATTATGTCACAAATGCATGAAAAAAAAAATAAGATGAAAGCACTCATGCGTGGGCGCGAGCCGCTACCAAAA